TGATGATGATGATGATGATGATGATGATGATGATGATGATGATGATGTTGGTGATGATGATGTTGATGATGATGATGTTGATGATGATTCTGTATTATTTTTGAAACATCAGTCAGCTGATGCTTTTTTTCTCCACTGGATCTCCTGAACCATCTGAACTCTCGTTCCGGTGGTCTGTCGGATACTTAGCACAAACACCGGACCAATTGCGGCACCATGCAGGGTCTGTCCAGGTCTGCCCCGTTCGGCCGCGAAATGTGAGATCGGTTGTCCCGTTTGGCCGTCCGAAGACGCGTGGCACGCCTCCGGGAAGCCTCCGGGAAGGGTGGAAGCCAGGTGTTTTGGTGATGGCCTGGTCATCTCGGCTTCACAAACAAAACAGGTGTTTTCGTGCTTAATTTCCTGCAAGACAGGTGTTTGGGTGGAAGCCAGGTGTTTTTGTTTGGTTCCAAGGAACAATCTCTAGATTGAAGGTCATCTTCAGCTCTGGATGCGTCACATGAGCCTTCTTGAACCTGTCAACGGCACGGCCCGCCCGGGCACGAACAGTGCCGTTCTGGGCACACTCGTGGTCACGATTGGAAGGTCGTGTGGGTCAGGTGTGTAGTGACTCAAAATGGTCTGACTAGCTACATGGTGAACACATGTGGTGAACACTGTCCAAATGGTCTGACTAGCTCCATGTCTGACTAGCTACCCTAGTCCAAGGTGAACGCTTGATACCCACGTCCAAGACCTTTTTTGGAAGGAAAGACATGGACAGACCGTCACTTTTATGGTCTACTCTGAGGTCATGAGACGTCTTTCAACGCGCTCCAAGCTTGAAAAGAAAACATGGAATCTGAGGAATCTGCAACTAAGTATATAGGACCTTAAAAAGGACTCTGGGATGTCTGATGGCTTGGAATCTCTTGGAATTGAATTGAAACTTCCGACCGCCTCAGCCGTTTCCCTAAAGGATAACCTTTTTCGGTAGTGGAGAAATCATGAGAAATTTATCCCCCCAAAAAGTCTAAAGGTTGGTTTTATCAAATATAGCTGTAACAGTCATGCAGTAAACAAATTTTACCAGTGGGACCTCCCTTTGAGGCACTTTTTTTTGGTTCTCTTTACCATCGGACTCTGCAACCCTTCCAAAGCTCTGGAAGACAGGACAGGTGGAATTTCCAAGCACCCAAACGCTCCGTTCACAGCCCGACTGGTCCCTCAACACCTCAAGGGATGGCTTCGACCCCAAAGCCCCCTGACCCGTCCGGATTCGGGTCCGACCCCTCCGGTGCGCATTCGGGGCCGAATGGGTCGCGTGTCTGGGGCATAACCTTCGTTTGGCCGAAGAAAACGACTCGGCTCGGGGGCTCGAACTCGACGCCCAAATAGAATGACACGACTCGACGCTGCTGCTGCTTCCACCGGGGTCCACCCCCAAACAAACTGGGATTGATTTGCTGCCAGGGTTTGCCGGACAAATCGATGGACATATTCACCTCAAAGGATCTTCTTTGCAATTTGAACAGGTGACCTTGGACGCATCAGTTTTCTGTTTTGTAGTGGTCGACCGAGGCCCATTTGGTAGTGGAAATTGGCACGAGGATCCAAAAGGATGATTCACCCAGGAACTGGGAAAGTAAAAACAGGCCTCATACGCAAGACCAAAACAGGCACACCGTGTCGACTTGAGTTCGCAAACACGTTTCAGGAGTTACGGACTGGCTCTTCGGTTCACCCACGCCAGCTGCCAAATTCGGACCATCCCTCCAATCCTGGAAGCAAGCTGATTGGAGGACCCCCAGTCGAGTCGAGGAACATGGTCTTCCAGGGGCCGAACTGTTCGTCGTGTAACACCACTCGCCGGACTCGTGCCCGGACTGTGGCCGCCACAGTCGTGAACGACTGACATGAAGTGCTTCCTGGGTCGATCCCGGGCCTTTTGAGGACGTGACCCGCTTCGGTCACGAACAAACACCCGCGCCGAACGTCGGTGCTTCCCAGTTCTGCGCCAGTTCCGCGCGAGTTCCGCGCGCGCGTGAACCACCGCGCCCAATGCCGCCGTCGCCCGCCTCAGCGCTGAGGGACGGATATATCTTTCCTGAGGGCCGGTCGGAAGGTGAAGCCCCAGGTCACCAGGTCGGAGGACGGCTGACCATGGAAAATGAAGAGACCCTAGGGCTCCGAACGCCCCATATCCTCAGGTTCGGTGGTATTCGACCCCCCTGGCACCCCTCTGGCACCCCTCTGGCACCCCCCTGGCACCCACCACCTTCGAAATGGAGGTGGGCCAGGAGCCCTAGGGAGAACAAACTATACTAGCCTCCGAAACTTTCCCTCAAAAGGTCGGTATTGGAACTGTCAGGATCGTGGGCCCCGTTTGAACGCCTGGCTCGAGGCCGCCTTAGGCCTTCTTCCCTTTCGTCGATGAAACAGCAAAAGTCGAAGGTTCCTCCCCCTGGAAGATCAGGAACTGGTCTTGGGTGAATCCAAGTTCTGCTTTCACATCAGGGGCAGTCTACACATGTCTACACATGTCTGAAAGCATCATGGAAGCAGAACATAGCAGAACAACGTCTACAGTAGGCCCCAGTGCCTCATCACATCCTCTACAAACGTGTGGGGGCTCAGGGGTCCATGAAGACGTCTGAGGGAGGGTATCAAAAAACACAGGGACCTGGACCCTCCCAAATACCTTCGAAAATGGGACGTGGTACGACATGGTGACATGACCCTTACAAGAAACAGGTAGATCTGCACCCATTTTCCGAAGTACGAACTGAGACTTGAGGAAGATGGAATACCCAGCAGTCACAAGATGGGGTGCGATCCATGGAGGAAGTCAGGGTGCCCTTGTCACATCCACTTACTGGATGGGACGTTTCACACCACCCCTTTGAGACTCCAGGAAGATCAGCCGACATGTTTGTTTCACCATTTAGCATCGCATCTTCTGGGGCGTAACAGGCCGGGCATTCGATGGGAGCTATAGAAAACAGCTGGTCTTTCGATGGTGGATTGGTTGACCTGGGATTTCTCCCACCAACATGTACTCAATACCCAGACACTCCATGAAAACCCCTCAAATCAATTGAACACAGCCACTTAAATGGTCCGTAAGATATGCCAGCCCTAACAAATGAGTCGTGTCGGTTGTTTAGCTCAACTGCTTCTCCCGCCACCCCGCTGAACACCATGAAACCGAGAAGCGAACTTGGGCGGCTTCCGTGTGAAGTTGTCCCCCACAAAGGAGACCTCGCGAGACCGCGGCCGCCCGGCCGAGCTGGGGGGGTCTTTAGAGAGACCGTCCCTTCTCCGTTTTCGCCGTCCCATGGTGCAACGCCTGCCTGGTTTCAGATCCTGAGCACCCCAAAACCGCACTGAAGGACAGGCGCCAAACCGGCAGGAGACCAGAGAGCTTTTGTCTCCATGGACTTCTCCATCGACGCCGCGACGCTCAAGACCACGGTGCTGGACCCGAGACCACGGGTCCCTCGAGCTTAACCCCTTCGGCACCGGCAGGCGGGCCTTGTTGACGATGCGCTTCCACGCCTGGCAGCGCATCGAGTTGGGAGGCGGTGTTCGGTACCGGTGTTGCCCACCGGTAGAGGGAAGAGGGCACGTCGACCAAGTCCCTGGAGTGGTCTGAACCGGTGATTTTGACTGACTGAGCAAAGTCTGGGTCTGTTTTTTTTGCCTGGCGCAGAAAACCTCAAACAATTGGCGGGGGGGATGCTGTGGGTCATGGCACAAGGATAACCTTGCGATTGACCTACCTGGAAGGTCAAGTATACATGGTGTAAGGAGCTCCAGGGTTTGACCCATCGAACGCTCACAGGACTTGACGCGCAGTTGAACTCACTGACTGCCCCCAGGTTGGCCGGACACAGAGTCATGTACAGTAGCTTGACACGAAGAACTGCATGCAGAACCCCTCATTGATCTGCAAGGGAGAGGCATCTGCAACATTTGGGAATTCCATGGAATTCATGAAGAAAGAGCTTTTGGAAATTCCCCAAGAAAGCTCAGAAATCTGATGGGTATAGCTCTGGTGTCATCTCTCAACCAAACCGGAAGTGCGGACCTTTGCCCAAGCCATCTCTGTTTGGTTCAAAAGCATAAGAGATCTGACGATGTGACTTTTTGTCCAGAATGGGGCCCTTGGTTCTGGTCATTGCTCCCTCAACATCTAGGGATTGCTTCGACCCCAAGCCCCTCCACTCTAGGTATGAGGGTCCGACCCCTGAAGCTCCAGGGTCGCATCTGGGCGGCCATGGTTTGAAGTCGATGAGTCGTTGGGCGGCACATCTTCAACCACCGACCCGGGTGCTCCGCACAGCTCCGCGCAGCTCCGAGCGCTGGAGCCACCCCCAGTGCTGTGTCGGATCCGACGTCTGCCTTCTTCTTTCGTTTGCCACTGCGGAGGATCTTAAACATCTCGTCCTCGGTCATCGCCTCAAAAGAGGTGGATGCGTGTTGTGGGAGAAAGTTGGACCCAAACAGGGCTTGATGCATCTTAATGCTATTCTTTGAAAGATTTTACTGCTTGCGCAAAACCAGGAAACGTCCGGTCTCAGAAACCTCATTGGGTCGTGTTTTTGGCATGATCAACTCCAAGTCAAAAAGTACAAAAATAAGATCTTATTAAGCAAAACCAGGGTTGGAACCTGTAGATACCTGTAACTAGATACCTGTAGATACCTGAGCCGATCCAAGCGCCCCCCGAATCTCCAAAGACATGCGCCTCTGGCCGCACCGATGACGTCTATGACGACTGACCCGCACTCGATTTTCGGAACTGAATCGACAGGTACCGCAAGAATGCATTAAAATACTCATTTAAAAGGTCCTAGTAGCGTCAATTGTTACTAGTAAGGCACTTAGTTACTAGTAGCGATGCACTTGTTCCTAGTAGCTTATTGTTTCATTGTGCAGAATCGACAGCAACAAAACACATCGATTTGACCTCACCCAACTGGATTTTCGGTGCATGTTCGTGGCATCAAGAAGTCCAAAGAGTCCCATCGTTGGGGTTCCCGACCTCTTTGGTGACAAAAAATGTTCCCCTGCAGCTTGAATCTTCAAGAATATCTTCCAGGCTCATGCAATCCACAGCGAAAAGCATTTACATTTAAAATCTCTCAAGAGTCTCAAGTCGAAAGCATCCGCAAAAGTCCGGCTGACCCCTGAAAGCATCCTCCGGCTTGGAGCGAGCAGGTGCCAACCCCTGGTACGAAACCGGATCATCCATGAATCTCAACGGGTGAGATAAGAAGTTCGCCCAAAACCGACGAAGGAGATGAAGAGCGTTCTCTGTTTTTTTTCGTCATGCTTTTTTTCCCTCCAGCCCCCCCTTTCAGAGCACTTCGCAGAACCCATGTGCCTTGACTTTTGGGATGGGCACTTGCCACTTCCCCGCCTTCTCCTGCGGATCGGATCTCCGCAGGGGCACGAAGCGGCCCTCGAAGAGGGGGAGAAGAACGGTGTGACTCTCAACGGCCCATTGGAAGTCGATCACTTTGTGCGTGTTTTGGAGAGCCTACCTGTGGGTCTTCATGGGTGACAAAATCACACCATCATTCCATCTGTTAGAGTGGTCTTAAGAACATGCATGAAAGGGACTTATGAAGTTCAGAATATGCTACATGATTTTGTGTCACCAAGACATACCAAGACCCGACCCTATAGAACATTCATGAAACTTCCATCGGAGGTGTTGGTTTCGCCCCCAGAGGGGTCTCTCCACAAAAGCGGCTGTCACTCGGGCGCATGGATCGCGTGGCATCGGTGTATCGATGGCCTTCCGCTTTTGCTTGATCATATTCGACAGGACCTGCCGTCGCCGTCCAGAATCGACTCGGACGCCGTCGCCGTCCGTTTTCTCGTGACGGGTTGGTTCTCGTGACGTCCGTCCGCGACCGAGGGGCGCGTTAACATGACGGCGTCAATTCCGGATGAACGGTTGCGGAACCCCGAAGGACAAGAACATACCCGGAGGGTTACGGTCTGGGTGTCCTGTCCTCGGTCTGGAGATCCCTAAGTAGTGTATAAGTGTATACGGTAGTGTGGAAGGGGTCACTCCTTGGATGGTCCTGGTATCAGTCACGTTTGGACCGAGTGCAGTCATTACCTACAGTGATGATCATGGTGAGCCTCCCCCTTCGGTCAACTGCCGGGGTTTGCTTTTGAGAAGATGATCCGCATGAGCCACAAGCCACTCGCTCAACCGGAAAAGCCGTGCTTTGGAACCTCTCCGCGTCCGCAACACATAGGCCATAGGGTTTTGTTTCGGGTCTGTTTTCCCTCTGCGAAGAGGTCCGAACGAATTCTTAGGGCTTAACAGACCCTACAAGTCCAAAGACCCAGTCAAACCTGGTCCTTTACCTCATTGAGTAGTGTTTTTGTATCACCAACTCCGTAAAATGAGGTCTTTGACCTGTAGGAAAGGAGAAGGCCTCTGGCTCAGTCTCTACTCATCCTGCTGCTCAGCTGCTCTCACGCTTTAGGCGCCATCACTATAGGTAGTTCACTGGTGCGATCACTTGTTTAGGGTGGCTGGATCCTTTGAGGAGTCTCTACGTCATCTTTGGAATTTTTGATCATTTAGGAATCATTTCTCAGACATGACTCATGGAACTGCCATCCAGGACGGACTGCCGCCCCAGAAAGATCCCCTTGGCACCAGCCCTGGCAGTCCGTTTTGCAGTCCCACTGGCAGTCCCAGACAGGTCGTGGGGTTTTGGATCATTCCCTGCAAGTCACCCGGGTCAAACACGATGAGACGTCGCGGACGAGACCATCGTCACACCGAGACCACGTTGCGGAGAATGCCGCGGACGGATGCCGCGGACGCGCCTTGGTCCGTCTCACCTGTTCTCGGTCGAGAAGGTAGGCTGGCACGGCGCCTGGCTTCACCTCATCAAATCAGAAACCGAGTGGACAGGAGATCAGCCAATCTGCTTGGATTCTTCCAAGGTTTTCAACCAACTCGCCCAGCTGGTCGTTGCCAGCGACTTCCGAAAGTCAGAGAACTTCGTTGCTCTTACGCAGAGCGTCTCGTGAGCAGCGATCCACGCACCGAGCGTCGAGCAAACCCCCGAGCGGGAGCGAGCTCGACCGGGTTCGATGCACCGAGTGGCTTCTTCGGCGTCCTTGGCCTTCGCATCCTTCTCTTGGTGTGCCTCGATGGATCCCGAAATCCACCGGATCAACAAGAGAAGAGGGCGAACCGGACGACGTGTACTGCGGCACATGGTGCAAAGTACTCAATGTTTTGACAGTTTCGGGGTGAAGTCAACTCCGAAGAAAAGTTGATATTCTGTTAACATCTGCTAACTATATATACGAACAACATTTGTTTTCTTGTGGGATGTCCTCCTGATCCTGTTGAATGGACGGATATCCTGATGCTATACCTGGACCTTCCAGCATATGCAACATTTCTGCCTATAACTCATATCCTTTTTTCGATGAAACATGCAAAATGCACCTGCCCAGTTGGGAAGATCCGGCGGCCACCCGACCAGTCGCCACCCGACCAGTCGACACATGAAAAACATCACATCAACCATATAAGTGAAACATGCATGTACTCAGTACCAAAAAAAAAGCCTCACTATTTTTTTTGCTTGTGTCTTTATAAGGTTATGTCACGTCATGTCCCGTTTAGAGAACGAACGAACCGTTCTTGGGACCTCCGGGCAGACACCCACCCGGTGATGGGTCTTGGGACGTCCAGACTACCAGGAGTTCCAAACGGAGGAAGTCGGGCGAACGTCACATCCACTCAGCTGAATGAGACTATAGTCAGCACCCAACTCCGACCTGACCCCTGGTACTACCCCTGACTCCCTCACTTTCCACCTCGCAAGTCCAGGAGTAAAGGTGATCCACTGACAGGAGGTCTCACCCTTCGGGGATGGTGCCGTCTCAAGCCATTTCCACCTACAAGAAGAGTGGATCCAGCGCTTTCCAACACTTTCTGTTGGGCCAGTTTATAGAATGAGAATATGGACTCCGACTTGCTGAAGAAAGAACTGGTTGGGCACCACCCAGTTCATGCAAGTTCCACTGTTTCTTGATCCTGGTGGCACCTGGGGGCCTTTCTTTGGAGTGCTGGGGGTGTCGAACTGTTCCAAACCACCAGGGACGTGCGTCCGTTCTTCAACACATTGACGTGCCTTGATGGTCTTCTTCATGGTGGCCTTCTCAGAATACCTGCGCGTCATCAACGAAGCACACACACCCAGACACATTCTCGCTCTACTTCGCTTCTGCTTCACCTGTCCCTTTCAACGCAGCGCGAGGGTTGTCTAAGGTTGTTCCCCCGACGAAGATGCCTGTGGCCAGCTGGGAGTTCCCCAGCTCTTCATCAAGAGATAATCCAAACACAGTTTGGCCTGCTTGTGTAGCATTACCACCTTCCACCTTCGTGAGCTCTTAAGGATTCATGTCATCACCATCTCATGGCCCTGAGAAGCCGCCTGAGCCACCCTGGCCTCTCCTCACCGGATCTATAGATCCCATCACCCCGACCCCCACAGAAGCGGTTTGGCACGAAGGAGTCGTCGGCTGCCCTGATGAGCTCCGGCGGCCGGGCGCCTCTTTTTGGTGAAGAGCTTGGCTTTGATGCCCCGAAGCTTGCGCGCAGTCTTGGCAATCTTCCTGGGCGTCGTATCCAGAAAGTGTTTGCTTTGCTACGACGTATATCATCGTCACAATATCGATGTTTCGGGTGAAAGCGAGCGCTTTCACTCCATTTGCATTCTCCCCTTTCGGCTGCAGACACGTGCATGGAACTTGCAGCGGTTTTCTGGGTCTCGTTTGAAGGGTCCAAAACCACCTGTCAACTCCTGCAGCCAAGCTTCACTCAACACCTCGCAGTTCGGGTGGTTGGATGAACATGATGAACAATACATCAGGCCGGGGCGAAACATATCCACCACCCAGGCTCGGTGGTGCTGGACTCTGCTAGTTTCTTTCAGGCTCTTAGACGTCTCCTCCGCCCGAGTCCTGCGTCCAAACCCGCTGGCCCATCTCCCCAATCTCCGACCCGACCCTTGCCAGCGAGTCTCTTGGGCTCTCGCGCCTTCTTCTTTCGCATGCGCTCCTGCGACCCCACACCACGGTGCCCGAACGAGGCTTCCGGTCCGATGGGTAACGGGTCCAGGGTCCGTCTCGCCCTGGTCCACTGGTCCAAGGAGAACATGGATCGTCCATTCAGCCTCCAAAACAACACCCTGCTCCAAATCAAGTCTCAAATGGTGACATCCACCAAAAACCCTTCAACTTTGAGACAAGGTCCAAGGATGGGTTCCACCACTGTCGCACCAATCTTCAAGGAAACCAAGTCTGCTTGGCAACTTGCCCGAGATCTCAAGGCATCACTGGACTTTGGCCTTCCCCTCCTACTTCGCCCTCTGCAACGCTCTTCCCACGCCCTCATGGATCTCCAACCCCCCGCCGTCGGCGCGTTTGCGTCGCGCGCGGAGGTCGAGGGACTGACCGGTGGCACGTGACCGCGCCTCATGATCGAAGCGCCGGCCAAAGCGTTTGATGGACTCTTTGATGTATTCATTCCTCGGCCGATGGTGCCAAGCTGTCGCACGGGAAGTGGTTGGGTTGTGGGTCAAAGGCACTATAGACGGAACGCTTAACCTACCTGGGAGGTCTTTCGCTACATGCTGGGCTGGTCGGGCTCCAAAGACCCATCTATGTCGGGAGTCAAGCGATCTGTCGGAGTGAGTCAAGCGGTGGTTCCCATGTTTTTTTGCACCGACATAATGGAAGAAGCCCATGTTTCTGGACGGGGCCACCTGGAAACGCCTGGATGGCCACCTTGCCTACACAATGGACCCCTGGGCTTCTCGGATGGTCCAGGTCTCCGTCTGAGCCCGGACTTGTCTTGGGACATGTCTTCAAAAGCTCAACAAACACACGACGAACTTAAAAGAAAAACAAGCAAAACAAAACAAAACAATAATTAGGATATTATGGAATCATATGCCCTATATAGTCTGTATATTCTTGCACTCTTCACTGTCATTCTACAGGATCTTCTGCCCACTTGAGGAGCTTGGGCTGCTCCATTTGAAGCCCTGATCCAGCCCGGGTGGAAGTTCCTTTTGGGACTTCGATTTCACAATACTTCACACCTGTTTTTCCTGAACCACCGCACCCCTTGGAGCGGAGCAATGACTTACCACAACCGATCCAAGCGAAATCGCTCGTACAGGACGTTCTTAAAGGGGACTCTTCGCTCTGAGCATCCTGACTTGAAGGAAAAGACGACTAGTCAGGAACCTAATAGCGATGTCCTCCACTTATCTCCCGAAAGAAACGCCATGAAACACTCTTCCAAAAACCTTCAATCCGAGCATCTGTGGCATCGCGAATCGCGGGCGACCGCGCGGGCGACCAGACCCGCGCGGGAGCGCAGGGAACCGGTCGGCCGCGTCTTACCGAGCCCAAGAGTGGCTAGAGGAAAGAACAGCGGACCAGGTTTAGACTAGCCTTGCCACGACTGATGGAAACTGGACTATGACCCCCGATCAGTTAGTGGTTTCTGGGGGAATCTGCATACGTTCCATACATGGAGTGGGACATTAGCTAATAACTCCTGGTCACTTTGGACATGATGGGCCCCTCTAATTGAGGGTCACTGTTGGTGCTTGATGGGTACTGCCAAGGACCAAAAATTAAATAATGAAGCTTCAAGTCCTTCGGAACATGTCAGAGCTTGTTCGAACATTCATGGTGTCTAAAAATACGCAAAACAACCTATAGAAACCTCATGGATGTTGTGTTTTTGGATCACCGTCCAATCAAAATGAGGTCAAACATCACATGGGACGCTGGGGGATCCACTTCTGGCATGCCCCGTTTCCGACCCGCCAGCGAAGGGGCCAGTCGCCAGCGACGAGGAGGTCAGCCCGGTATACAACACAAGCAGGTGGAGGATGTCAACACAAACTTCCCGGATAGTGGCTGAAAGCACCGCATTCGCACCGCATTTCATGGGCTTGATGCTTTCCTGACTCACAGCCATGAAACCAGGGTGCGTGACATGAATGCTCTAGCTCACTTGAGGCCGCCTGACTATGAAAGTTTGGCATCTGTTGGCCACCTAAGGTGATCGTGGATTCCGCTGGCTACATGACCTAATGTAGACCCTTGCTCGAAAAAACTCTCCCGAGTTTAAGAGGCTTTACATGGTTCTACAATCGCAATGGAAAAGGATGGAACAGTTTTTTGATTCATCACGAGTCTACCTTCAGTTGCCACCAAGCAACACCAGCTTCCCGTTTTAAGTGCCAAGGCTCATTTATGATGGGGATGGTCCTTCCCTCATCGACCCCCACAAAAGTCACTAGGAACAAGTGCTTAGAATGTTTGGACATATAATTGTTAGACCCTTTGTCTCAAAGCGTCCCAAATCTGAACTGCTTGCCCCCCAAACCTGCTGGAAACACCACTCCCTCTGCCTCCAATCTCGCCCAAAGCTCACCCAACCCTCCGTTCCGAACACGGAGAACCAGGCAGAACACGCGGTGAAAAACCCAACGACACCCAACGACGCACGTCGCCACTCTCGCACCGGGCGTCCCCCACTGACGATGAAACAGGTCTCCAACTTCACCAAGACTCGCCCATCCAAGGAGCCTGGTGGAGAGAGGTCGGAAGGAGGGTCTTGGAAGTCGAAGAGGACGGGTCGCATGTGACTTTTGCTTATCAGCCAAGTTGTCCGTTATCAGTTATCAGTCAGTCAGTCCTTTTCAATGCTTTCTATTTGAGTTACAGTAACTTTCTTACGTACTATATAGTGAGTCTGCTTCTCAGTCAAATCAAGGTCTGCTTGAAGCAGTGCGGTCTGCGCCCCTCCCTTGACCCGGGACGAAGAGCCGGGGGGTCGTGTGGTGACCCGATCTGTGGGTGGGTCCATATTCCAGACACGACCGCCATCTGGGACTGCCAGGACGGACTGCCGCACCAGACAGACCCCTGGCACCACCCCAACCCTACCCCAGACACGACCTGTCTGGGACTGCCATATACCTAGATCTTCCAACTGTGCAGAATTTCTGCCTTTTGGCTGGGTTTTATGCATGAGAAGGCAGAAATTCTGCACAGTTGGAAGATCATGGAAGATCCAGGTATATGCCGCCCCATTGACCCCTGGCACCACCCTTGGCCGTTTTGAAGGCAGTCCTTCCTATGCCAGTCCCAGACAGGTCGTGTCTGGGCATTAGCACGAAAGGGTCTCATCCCGGCCCATGAAGGTCGGCGAGTCGGTGGTCTTTTGGGAATGCCAGTGGTGTCGCGGAACGATGACGGACACTGCCCAGCACTTCTCAAAGCCGAGCTGCTGAAGGGCTTCAGCAAGACTAAGCTCTGCAGATGCAGAAAAGCGATGCTCGCAAAGACGAAGATCCTGCCACTGCGGATAGCGCCGGACGCGGCATCGGCGGGGTGGACGGACCGGTGGTTTCGGGGATCGGATCGGGGCGCGAAGATCGAAGGACGCTGACCGTGTCGAAGTGGCGCCAGCAGGCACATCCTCTCACGGGGTGCGGGTTCCGAACGGAAGGAGCTCCGGTGCCCCGAACGTCACGTCACATCACCCGAGCCACACCACCCAGGCCCTCTGTGACTCCTGGAGCGTACTTCGAATCGCCCCAAATCATGGGCCTCAGCACCTCGCCGGACGAATCGACGGACGGATCTGCGATGTCCTGAGCACCTCGTTGGGAATGGCCGTGCAGGCCATGAACCTCGGGTACTGCTTTCGGCCGCGTCGATGGGGGGACTGGAGATGCTTAAAATGCTGGAGGCTGGAGGCATGTGGAGGGTTTTTGGGGGGGCGTGGGGTTGTGGTGAACTGTTGAATCTTATTGAAGACTCTTGTTGAGAGACTCTATTTTGCCTTTTTCCTACAATCACCCCATGGTTCGTTGCACCTAACCACAACCCCTTAGCAAGGTAGTTATACCGCTCCTGAACTTCCAATAACTCCATGGACTATCCCACCTGGAAGTCATCATTCACCATCGAACTCAGTTCGTGGTCAAATGCATCAACCTGGACCCGACTGACCCAGTACTTGAGAAAATGGGAGTCTGACCCGAACAAAAAACCAGGTGCTTAGGCCTAGGCTTGTACCCATTTTCTGAAGTACGAACAGGTCGACTCCAGGAAGCGACTCTCAGGGATACTCCACTTCACCTGGCGCACCATGGCGGCCGTGGACGACCTGCCGGACGGTCTTCCAAAGCCTCGTCCAGACTTGACTAAGGAGTCTGCGCGCCGCCCCTAAGGTGATCCAAAGTCCGGTATAGTGGGTACACTTCATCTTAGGCACTGCAGGAGACATCCTTCTATAAAACATACAACTCCACCATCCCCAAATCTTCAGTTTGGCCGATCTTGTCCATCTGTCGCTACTTGTCACCACCTGTCACGACAGATGAATTTCAACGTCCTTACCGTGAAACACCGCTTCAGTCGAGCTGGAAGCCAAGTTACTTACAAAACAGATCGAATTTTATCGTAGAGGTACTTACCTAAGGTATATACTCTTTTAATATGTTGCCGATCTACTGCGGGTACTTAGCACTTCTATTTCTCAAATATAGCGGTCGGTTGGTTGGATCTTAGTGCATGCTCCTTTCTGCTCGTTTGGCACGCCACACGCGCCGGGTCCATCTCTTGATGCCCCGCGTTGGACGCTCGCCCCGCTCGCCCGAGGCGCAGGAAGCGCTTCACGAAGAAGGTGATTTCGTAGAACCTCCGGCCGTGGAAGATCGTGGCCACAGGAGTGATTGGAGAATTGGGAGAAACAACCAGCTGTTCATTCACCTGGACCCTCCTGTCGGGGTGTCCTGGCTGGACTACCCCACACTACCTATAGGCTTCCAAACAGGGCACCCCTTGGAGGGTCCTGGCAGGTTCACTGTTTTTAGGTTCTTTGTTTAAAATGTGTATGGTTTCCTTTCCATCTGTGAGCCATGAACCACCTGAATCGCGGGGGTGTCACTCATTTTGCCCAAAAAACATGATGTTGGAGCAGGTGATCCCACTTTTCGTGGATAGGCTGTGGAAACTGTGTGAAGTTGGGGAGGAAGGGGGCAAGTATAACTGTTCATGGACCCCAAAGCCGAGAAAAACCTCAAGCGTGAACACCAGGTTGATGGTTTTGAATAGGGTGGACATGGCATACTTCAAACATCTTCAAACCTCCGTTTTTCTGTTTCTCTCATCTCACGTTCTTTCGTCTTGGCAGCTGCCAAGGGGCCAATACTCCGGCTCGAAGTCATTGTAAAGCATTCCTCAGGAGGGAGACTCAAGGATTTGGGGTGAAACATCCAAAAGTAACTGCAGGCGCTTTGGGATGAACTCCTCCATACAATGAGTGATGGACCAACATCTCTGGACCTCTTGGTCATGGCGAGGGGAGACAGCTGCCAGAATCTCTTTCCATTCTGAACCAACAAGGGGGGCCGACCCCAACCATAGATTTTGTCCACTCCTCACATGGGGTCCACCTAGAACTTCCTATATGTGAGTGTCCCTCTCCCCCAGATTGGCTTGGGATATGGGGATCATCCCATTTTGCGTGGCTGAATATTGTGGTCTCACATGAGACATGCAGCATGTAAACATTAAGCCACCGGTGGCCTCTCGATTTCATTGGAGCAATTGTCGCAATTGTTTTATCGGAATTGATCGGAATTGGAATGTTAACTCTGGCAGTTTGTCTGGCAATGCACACAACCCCCCCAAACAACGCCCAATCATAGATCGTCAACAATCTGTCGCGATGCAACCCTGGATCGTTATTACTTCGGCACGGTCGATTGGAGCCTCCGAAGAGGCCCCGCGACCAAACTTGGTCGCTAGAGTGTTTTTTCCCCCAGCAGTGTGGACATACTAGGGGTTCTTACGGTAGTGGTTAAGCACCGGTGTCCAATCGAGGTGTTGCACCGGGGCGGTGAATCGCTAACTCGCTCCTTCGACGCGCTCTGGGCTTCGTGACAGGTGCAGTGAATCGTGACTTTTCTACATGTCGCAGGTTTTCAGAAATCGTGGCAAGTGCAGTACTTTGTGGACCTTGAAGTGCAGATTTATACGTGGTAGGCACAGCACTTTGTGAACCTCGAAGTGCAGATTTTGTGGCAGTCGCAACGCTTTATGAACCTCGAAGTGCACATTTCGTGGCAGGCACAGCAACTCGAAGTGCAGATTTCGTAGTAGGCACAGCACTTTGTGAACCTCGCGAAGTGCAGATTTCATGGCAGGCGCAGCATTTGGTGAACCTCGAAAGGTGAACCTCCAAAGTGCTCTCAGATGGTCACTCTCACTCTCACCCACACTCACACCTCTATGGACCCCAATGCATTCAGACCTCTCTAGGCCTGTATGAAATCCTCTAGACCTCTAGGTCTCTGCTATGCCCAGAGACCTACCGCTAGATCTCGGCCTC